CTGAAGAAGGGTCACAACCCAAAACGTCAACTTTCCTGCTCCTCTGATGCTGCCTGGCTTGCTGTGTTCCTCCAGCTCCATGTGGTGTTATCTGACTCCAGCATCTGCAGTTCTTGCTATCTCTGATATTTTGGGTGTTGTTGTAACTCAACCAAACTTTTTCAGTCTGCCAGGATCTTCTCAAACAAGATAAAGATAATAATAGATAGCTTACAAGGCTTACCGTGCTATGTTTTATTGCCCAAATGATTAGCAGGATTAGAAGGGAGCCATTATGTAGAATGAGATTGAGAGACATACATGGGTTATTTGCCAGTAGGCAAACTTAAATTCAACCCTGAATGGTTAGGCTCAAATTATCACTCCAGAGATGAATATGCAGAATCAACAAATTTCCAGACTCCAGAGAACTGACTTGGGAGATGGAATTTTGATCCAGGTGGATGGGTGCATACTAGAGTCAGGGCCACCACCCATGGAAACGTTGTGGAGACAGTCACAGGGGTTTCTATGTGTTTCTAGCTTGTTTAAAAGACCTGACTGCAACTCATCCCCATGGCCCATTATGGCCCCCACTGTGATGACTGTAAGTGTAAAAGTAGTCAAGCAGCATTAATATTATGACAGCCTCAGGCTTATGTCAAAAAACAGCAATTGAAATTGTAAGCATTTTTTTCAAGAGCAGGGGGTTTAAACAACCCACTTACATTTGTGATTCTTCTGACACTATATATTGGTTTCGTAATTTCCAGTTTTCTCGTACTAGCCACCTCATACTAGACTCGAAAGGTTAACACGGTTTTTCTCTCCACAAATGCTGCCAAAAATGGTGGATGCCAACTGAGGCATGGAGCTTTTCCGTCTCAGTAAAAATTTGGTCCATAGAAGTTCAATATAGACTTCAAGAATTATATATCTCATCTCTCTGCCAGGCATCCTGCAAGCCTGTCATCCGATAACATTAGACTTTAGCATTACCTCTTCATCATCAAAATTATTTCAACATGCACCAAATCGCAGATTCTACAATTTTCCCCATCCCAAAAAAGTGTCTGAATAATTCTGCCCATTATTTGACTGAGATTATCTATTACATCATTCCACTTCTGATCCCTCTTTAACTATTTAAAAATATATTACCTCTCTGCTTGTTTGCGTTTTTTTCTCCTTTCAATTCTCTCCCTTTCTGTCTTGTTATTGTACATTTTTGTAACATTTCTCAGTTAGAAGGATAACCCAACATGAAGAATTGACTTGTCATCTCAGTCCACATATCCTAAACTAGCTTGTGCTTTTGTTTTGAAACTTTGTTTTGGTTTTGTTTCTGATTTCCATTACACTGTTCATGCTGTATTATATAATTGGGCTATTTCAAGAAAGCACAATAGGAACAATGTTACAAGAGATGGATACTGTGTATCTTTAAATATAAATGGTAAATTTTTTTTAATTGATTTTTTTCAACCTAACAATTAATATCAGAATCCTTGATTGTCTACTAGTAGCCATTAAAGCACAGCAGGTTGTATATTTGTTCACTGGTCTGTACTGCAGTCACTAATCTAACCCAGAGGGAGAGATTCACTAATGTCTTCCAGTTGTACATCTTTGAAGAATAAACATGAAAAAAGAACAACTGATATACAATGCAGAACAGATGGAACATAACACGTATCATCCTGTGATACTATGAAACCCATACTTCATCACTTCTATCGCCTTCCCAAGAAAAGTCATACAAGTTCCTAGGAGATTCTTATAGATGACACACACTGCTGCTACCATACAACATTGGTAGAGGGATTTAATTTATGGTGTGGATGGGGTGTTTATCAAGCAAGTTGCTTTGTCCTGGATGCTGTGGAATGGATATATGTTGAATAAAAATCAAAAAGGCATTTGGAAACTTTCTTTCCAATCCTAATAGTAATCAAGCAATACGCAGAACACAATGTCAATAAGTTAGCACTGCTGCCCCACAGCGCCAGGGACCCAGGTTTGATTCCAGCATGGCATTTGCATGTTATCCCTGTGTCTGAATGGGTTTCCTTTGCGTGTTCCAATTTCCTCCCACAGTCCAACGATGTGTAGGTTAGGAGGATTGGCCATGAGAAATGCAGGGTTTAGGAGTTGGAGTTGGGGGTGGGGGTGGGATGCTATTCTAATGGCCTGCTTCCATACTGTAGGGATTCTATGGTTCTTCTATGAACTCATGCATCTTCAATAAGCAAAATGACAGTCAACAGAGTCAGTGGGAATCAGGGTGAAATCTTTCTGCTGGTTGTAGTCATACCTAGTTCAAAGAAAGATGGCTGTGATTATGGAGGTCAATCTTTGTAGGAGTTCCTCAGGATACTGTGCTAGGGTCAACCATCTCCAGTTTCTTCAGTATTGACCTTCGCTCCAACACAAGAAAAGAAGTGGGGATTTTCATTGTGCCATCAGCAATCATCAACATTATTCACCGCTCTCCACATATATTCAGGTAGCCCATGTTCATATGCAGAAAGAGCTGGACAACATCCAGGCTTGGGCAATAAGCAGCAAGTAACATTTGTGCCACAGAAGTGTTGGAATATCACCATCTCCGACAAAACAGAAGAACTTAACCACTCCTTTTGATGTTGAATGACATTACCATTGCTGAACTCCCAACTCTCATTTCTGGGGGTTACCACTGACCAGAACCTGAACTGGACTGGCCATATAAATACCATAGTTATCACAGCAGGTCAGAGGATATTCGACAATGAGTAACTCACCTGTTGCCTCCTCAGTGCTTATCATCTACAAGGCACAAATTAGGAGTGCAATGGAATACCCTCCATTGCCTGGGTGCAGCTGCAATAATACTCAAGAGGCTTCACACCATCCAGTACAAAGTAACCTGCTTGACTGACACCACATCC